ATGTTGTTTGCCTTTATCAAGCTCTCTAACGTGCACGGTCCTAACTACTTTGAGATTGATATGGACATTCATCGCTTCAGCTACATATCAAGGAAGGGTCTCGAATTGTTTCACTTAAAGAACGGAATAGCCACGCGGCTATACTTTTAAAAATCTCGTTTAAAATATTCTGTTTATGGAGTATAGAGGCGCGGCAATACTCTCTTTTAAAATATTCTATTTATGACGTATAGCCGGGCGGCTATACATTTAAATATTCTATTTATAGAGTATCGCCGAGCGGCTATACTGTTAAAATATTCTTTCTATGCCGTATAGCCGCGCGGCTATACTATATTCTGTTTATGGCTTATCGCCAAGCGGCTATACTTTTAAATATTCTGTTTGATATATTTAAAACGAACACGAAGCTTGCACTTGCAGTCATGGCCATTTCGCAGACGACTACATTTATGTGGGCTATACTTTTTCTCAAATTCAAGCGATAAACACCTTTAAGAATGATAGTTTATAAATGTACAATATTCTAGTGAATCGGACTCGAACTCGTCACTACGAACGTCTAGGGCACAGAGCAAGCCCGTTCCAGGTTTCGAGCAAAATCGGCTGAGGCGCTAGGCCGGAAGACTACGACCCCAGAGAGTTAAGAGGCGCCTATGGGGCCTGGGTGGATCTAGGCGGCCTGGGCTGATCTAGGCGGCCCCTAGGCCGCTTGGGTTGATCTAGGCGGCCTCGGCGAGTCGTGTCTTTTTTTTCCAAATGAAGACAGACGAAGCTTGCACTCACAGACGAATGTGGTGCGCGAGTGATATGAAGAGACAGAGAAACGAACACGAAGCTTGCACTCCAGTCTAATCTTCAAAATTCAAATACTCAGTCTTGAGCCTCTCTCTCAACTCAAGCTTCGATTTTATTTTTTCTTCAGTTTCGGCTGCTGCATTGATTCAATTTTTTGGGTGCTTTTCTGTTATTGAAGTTCGCAACGTCAGATGAACATCCAAGGCAGTTTCTTGGTATGCCAGAAGAAGCCCAGCAGATGGTTCTTTAACCTGAGGAACACCTTGTAATTTGGCATTGGATTACACTATGCCGGTCTGAATGACAAAGATAGATCTCTGGTTGAGGAGCTTTTTGCAAACAACAAGATTCAGGCATTTCTGTTTTACCTCAGTAAGCATGAGTTTTTCCTGAAAAACACATTAGGAAAAGAGAATATAAAAAAATCATTTTCTTACTTTAATTATAAGTAAAGTAATTCAAAAAGGCTAAGACATTGCTCAATTACATATATTTAATTAAAGAGATAGGCCAAAAGACAAAAGTAAAGAAACTAATTCTTTTATATAAAAAAATTCCCAGATTATATTTTCTCTTTAAATAGTATCGCCGCACGGCTATACGATTTATATATTAAAAAAAGGGAGTTTCACTAAAACACCCAAAATGGGGGTTGAAATTATGAAAAAACCAAAGCACTATTTAAACATATAAACACACCCAAAACCCATCATTACACACACTCAAAACTCATTTATAAACACAACCAAAAAGTTGACTTTGGGGTTGATTTTGGGTGTGTTTCTATGTTTAAATAGTGCTTGAGTTTTTTTATAAATACATGTCTAGAATTGGGTTTATTTATAAAGTTGTATTAAAACAAAGCGACGCACCCAGGGCATAGGTGCCACGTGTCAAAACAAAAAAATTTCGCAAAAGATTATAGCCGCGCGGCTATGCTATTTCTTAAAGAAAATTCAGAAAGAATCTAGTATCGCCGGGCGGCTATACTCTTACCCAGAGCCTATGCGCCACGTGGCAAGAGGTTCCGCCGGGCGGCTGTACTATTTTCAATTAAATAATTTTAAAACGGGTATAGCCGAACGGCTATACTATTTTAAAAAAAACAAATAGGGAAAAACTGAGATGTTTTTAAATACATACTATTTTTATTCAATAATAAGTTAGAATTATGTGTATAATACGTGAATTTTTTGTTGTTTTTCAATACATACTATTTTTATTCAATAATAAGTTAGAATTATGTGTATAATATGTGAATTTTTTGTAAAAAAATAAATGTATTAACCGTGAGAAATACATGGGTACGTGTATAATACAATATTAAACGTAAAAGTGCCAAAATATTTATATGGGTAATAACTTTGGAAAAGTGAAAAATCAAAAATGGACAATAGATACTCTAATAACGGACAGGTCTCTTGGGCTATGGAGAAATTTAATTAAGACACCCAAACGATTTCACAAAAGACTTAATAAATATAAAATAATTATTTTGTGGACTTTCTCTTTAATGTTTTATATTAAATAATAATTAAAATAGAAGTACTAATTAAAGTAATTCAAAAAGGCTAAGACATTGCTCAATTACATATATTTAATTAAAGAAGCAGGCTAAAAAACAAAAGTAAAGAAACTAATTCTTTTATATAAAAAATTCCAGATTAAATTTTCTTTTTAAATAGTATAGCCGTACGGCTAAACTATCGCTATACTATAGGACGCGCCCAGGGCGTAAGTGCCACGTGTCAAAACAAAAAAATTTGGGGAAACTATTTCTACTCTTTCTACACCCGCCCATGTCCTTTGCGCCATGTGTCAAACTGGTACAGCGGTACTATTTCCAATTAAAAAATTTGAAAAAAAAGGTATAGCCGTACGGCTATACTGAAAGAAATAAGGAAAAACTGAGATTTTTTTAAATACATATTATTTTCATTCAATAATATGTCCGAATTATGTGTATAATACGTGAATTTTTTGTAAAAAATAAGTGTATTAACCTTGAGAAATACGTGCGTTCGTGTATAATACAATATTAAATGTAAAAGTGCCAAAAATTTCATACGGGTAATAACTTTGAAAAAGTGAAAAATAAAAAATGGACAATTGATACTCGAGTAATGGCCTAATAATAACGGATAGGGCTCATGGGCTATGGAGAAATTTAATTAAGACACCCAAACAATTTCACAAAAGACTTAATAAATATAAATTAATTATTTTGTGGACTTTTTCTTTAATGTTTTATATTAAATAATAATTAAAATACAAGTACTAATTAAAGTAATTCAAAAAGGCTAAGACATTGCTCAATTACATATATTTAATTAAAGAGATAGGCCAAAAGACAAAAGTAAAGAAACTAATTCTTTTATATAAAAAAATTCCCAGATTATATTTTCTCTTTAAATAGTATCGCCGCACGGCTATACGATTTATATATTAAAAAAAGGGAGTTTCACTAAAACACCCAAAATGGGGGTTGAAATTATGAAAAAACCAAAGCACTATTTAAACATATAAACACACCCAAAACCCATCATTACACACACTCAAAACTCATTTATAAACACA